CAGACGGTTTCACAAAATAAGTTTTTATTTAGTATCGCTCTTACATTTCAGATGTTAGAACTGCATAATGTATCTACATCACAGTAACAAGTTTGTCCGCTAACTAACCGAACTGTTGTTATTTAGGTGCACTTGTGGAAACTGCGCCATGATGCCTACCGAAGTGGAAAACGTCTGTTGCAAAGAAATTAGAAAGGTAGCCTAGCTGACAGTTACAACATTATGTAGCCAGCTAGCTGAAAACACCAAAAGTAGCACACAACATTATATGCCAAGATATACACCATACATATTTGTCAAGTCAATAGACTATTGTATGCCCTTTTATTTCAACCCATACACCCTGCAGAACCTTCATAACATGTACATATTTTATTATGGACCTTTGAGGCGTAGAACGGAAGAAGAGTAAGTTATTTTAACCTGTAATAAACTACGACTGTGTTTGATGAAAAATCCAATCACGGTTTGCTATATATGAATGATATGTTATAGGAGCAAATAATTCAGGGAAGAAAGGCTAAGTATTTCCATCAAACTTTATTTTTAGAAATGTACAAAATGAAAATGAGTAAATATACATATATACACTGTATATCATCCATTCTTCCCCTTATAGGCGTTTTCGGCATCTTGCCTATCGCAGCTTTGTAAGCTTGTGCTGGGGCTTTCTAGGACGAGGCATCAGAGTGGTCATCCCGTCATGTGTTGTCCGCCGGATATGCCAGGAGTTTCCTGATATGGCTGGACGAAATCAAATGCAAATCACAAAATATTAGAGAAACTTAGATGTTTTAGGTTTGTTAGCTTGCCAGCTAGATTAATATGCTAACCTACGTTTGCTAGTTGTTCAGTGTAATATGCCAACCTACTATGAACAGCAGCTAATGGTTCATATTAGGCTAGCAAGAACATGTTAACAATTGCAATCTTATACGGGTAGTCTGCTACATTCGGTCATTCATTGTAGCTGGCATAAAAACAATGTTTGCCCTAGCAAACTCATGTCTAGCTCTTGGTAGCCTTCTTGTTTAGCTCGGTAGCATACACGCTAGGAACGCCAACTATAATGTAATCAAGTTTTGCGACTGACCGTACGGTAAATCACCTGGAGTATACTGTCTATAAGTATTTTGGGTGTGAATGCAGATATTCTCCTGCTATGAAATACATTTAAGGCCATCTGCTGACATTGGAGTTGATATATGGAAACGCTAGCAACTTAGTTAGCCCAGTTAGCACTGTGTCAATGGCTTAGCATGCCGAAAAACGTTTACCCATTTAAACAGTCGTGGTAGATACCTTGTTTGTTTTAAACATCATAAATACACAAACAACAATGAATACTTACAGGTTGTGTACCCGAATCTCCCGCTGGTCCAAACAAAGTAAGAACAGCATCGTTCTTCATGGGCCCTTTAACTGAATCTCATTTCATCAACATTGGAGCCAGCCCTTTCTTCGAGGCTTGCTGTGGTGTTTGTATTTAAGTACGGCAGACATCACATAAATGGGATAAACATACTAGAGCAATGGCACTACAGTATGCTTAAATGTCACAAGTCCCGTTAAGAAATCGACACCATTAGAGAGTGAGGGCGCAACAATTAGTTCTGCTCAGATGTTGGATTATTATTACAAAGTCACAGTGAGCGTTATCATGAGGATTTCAAGCCTCTCACACGTGCGCTCTTTCCTTCAGGCTTGGTGTGACTGGATCAATATTAAGATTGGTCTATGAAAGATGTTATGCTGTGCAGGATGAACAGATGAGTCTCTCTCTCTTACAAAGAGAGCTTCAAAGCCAGCGCATTGACTGAAGTATATTGTGTACAATTAATCGCAATTTAGCGAAATCACAAAATCATTGCCCAAAAAGAAAAGAAGAAAAAACGTGTATATACTGTATGTATATATATATATTCTCATTTGCTTTGAGTTTTTTGAGACATTTAGTTTAATATGATTTAAAAGCAGAGAAAAAGTGGAAAATCTAAAAATGTTTCTGAAAGCAGCATGTTGGGCAAGAAAAATGTCCTTCTTAGTGGGTATCTGGTTAAAAACATGCCCCAGTATCAAACAATCACCCATGTAGACTTGAATGGTGGCTCTGAAATACATGTGGTAGCACCTTATTAAAAACCGGAGCAAGTATAGTAAATTAAAATGGTGACCCAGTTTCACAAAAAAAAACATCTGCATACATTTCTGAATTCAGTACTGCCTAACTTCCCTTGCTGCTTACCATCCATACATTATGTATGTTCCAACTAACATAGTTTCAATATCTAATATTGCAATGTCATTACAAATATGAGTCCTAAAACCCGGGTTATTAGTTAGCATTTTACCACTTCCGGTTCCCTCGTCTCAAACAAGTTTGTGGTTAGATGCCTGCTAACTGTTGCTAACCAGTGGCTAAATGAGACTTCTTAATGTCATCAAGTCAAACACGAGTCCGTTTACAGTTTAGCGGTAGTGATGCAAGAGCCATGCAACCACGATGTAGTCTGTTTATAGTCTAATGTTAGCTTTTTACTACAAATGTGTAGCAATATGTGGAGATTACACTGCTGCACAACATGCAAGTATAATCTTGTGTTTGCTAGAGTTTATTTTACGTAATATTGCAAAATAAATGTTTTTGAAAAGATACCTTAAATATTAAAACTTTCAAAAGAGAACATGTAGTCTGACTATTGGTTCAGTGGCTTTTGATCATATTCTAGGTTACTAGTTGGCTTGCCAATCTAACAATTTATAAAGAAAAACGTAATCCAGGACTATGTACTGTTGGTAAATTAGCCTACTTCCAATCATTTATTAAAATGACATGGAGATTCTAATCTTCATTCCATGAAACCCACATGAATATAACAGACATCGTAATATTTTGGTTGCAGTTATCAGATATGGCTGACTTAACGGCATGGGACCAATCAAGCTGTCGGAAAATAACAAGAGATATGCATAATAATCAAAGAACACAGGCTAGATGCCAACACTCTTCAGCATCATTGTGTAAACAATGTGCGCCTGATGGGGAGTGATTTCTACATTGCCTAACTCCTCCACCATATAGAACATCTATAGTGTTGCAATATGGAGATTTAAACTGGAAGGCCTCTAGTGCTTCATGTAAAGTTTTGGTGACCCCACCTTGCTGACTTCATGTTCATTTTTTATCTTGTTTAAATAATTATCCAATAATGTTATACATTACTTTTAAGATGCACTAAACTTGTTTTGTTTTTCATCTACTAAAAAGGTATTTTTATATTACTGTTGACTTTATATTCAAACCTTTTAATCTCATGTCACCACTCTTCATTTTTTGCATTACAGATATTCGTTGATGATGGTTATCTAATGACAGCACAAATTCAAAAAGTGTATATCGTTTTTTGAAATGCAATATTTGGTCCTTGGATGAGGAGTCATTTTTTGTCTGTTTTGAGTCATTACATACCACTAAAAAAAAATGTGCATTCATTTAACATATTATCTGTAACCACAATGCTGCATAGGAGCTCCTAAGTGTCTGCAATGAAGGTGTTAAATTACTTGTGTTTATACACAATGTGTCCATATAGATGCCATTCATTCAGAGCTTTACATAGATGAACATAGAAGAAGATTGCCTTAAAAATGTAATATTAAGCCCAATAGACTTAACGTTTTTTTAAGCTTTGCAGATGACATTAATGTATTCTTCAAGAGGATATCTGATCAAACTAGTGGAAAACTGTCATCTTTGCAACCATAAAACATAACTTTTTCTGCACAACAGTTGTCATCTGTGGTTTAAAAAGTTGCAGCACATTTCTGACACCCCACGTGTTTCTTGTAACGGGAGGCTGGTGCACCTGATGTAACGGCAAATTCTGACGTTACTGTTGCATTTTACTTTGGGGCCATTTCGAAACATGCATGACAAAATATTCAGAAAAGAACAAGCATGTGTTAGAAAGAGACCTCCACTCACACATGGAGTGAGAGCAGCATATTTTCACACCTGTCACACCGAAAAAGCACACTCAAACGCGCACACGCACACACTGGTTTGCAGAGTCGCACAGCTCTGCACTGCCTGTAAACCAGCCTTCCTAACGCTGCTCCATTTACACCACACAACACCCGCAGAAACAAGCAAAACTAACACATTAAAACCGGATACTCACTTCCCCAGCTCCTCGTACAGTTGACATTCGTCAGTGAATCGCGTACAGGTTGTCGTGGCCATGTCTCTCCTCTATCTTTTGCTCTTTTACTTTCTCAACTCCGGAAAAATGCGGGGCTTCTTGCACTAAATTAGCGTTTAAAATACAGCTCCACCCAGCAGCTAGACGGCCGTTGGAGCGTTGAAATGCCTTGTCTGAGGTGCCAAGTGAAGGAGGGTTAGGTACGGAAAGACGAAGCGACCAGGGTGGGTGCTCTCTCTCCTTCTGAATCCAATATCTGACAGCCACAGCGCTCACAGAGACCCGTCATCAAGCCACCTGGTCAACGGGAAGCGACTTCCGGCTGCAATTTTCAGAATAAAACTAAGCTTTGATATTTAAAGGTAGGGTAGGTACGAATGGAGAAACCGGCTTGAGTAAGCTAGAATTTGAAAATACACAACTGGTCTAAAAATCTGCCACTTCCTTACAGAGCCCCTCCTCCAACACATACGAACGCGCACATGACCAATGAGGGCACGAGATAAGTTTGTGCACGAACTGGAAGGCTGACAGGCAGGTAGGCCATCCAGTTATCTGCCGCGGGCCAAGGCAGATAATTGGACTTGCTTTTTACAGCGCCACGGCTTCCATAGACGAAATATTTGTATATATTTATTGTCAAAGCATTACATTTATTCATTGCTATCGGGATGTTAAGAGCATTCCGTGGAATATAACAAAAAGTGTTTCTGAAGTGAATTATCTACCCTACCTTTAAATGCTGTCTATGATAAAAGGGACTTTATTAACGAAGCAGGTCATATAAGCTGTTTCAGTTTTGTTCAATTGATAACTATGACTATGTAATTGAAATTGAGCCTCTTTGCAAATCATTATAAATGCAGACACTGAACTTGCGATTAGTTAGCAGGTTAGCAAGGCTAGGCTATAGCTATGAAAACTGAGAAAAGAACATACACTACATGAAAAAAGTCATCTTTAAGTGAGGAAAAAAAAAGTTTCTTCCCCTGCAATAATTAAAATATTCTGATTGATTGATTCATTGAATGATTGTGTTTCTTTTCAGGTTTCAGGTTTCTATTCGCCAGTAGTCTGCAATCAGAAATGCAGACAATGTACCCTAACTGGTAGTTTTTAATTAAACAACCTATGACTATGTTGTTGTTATACTTTAACATAATCACGGTGATATAGTAGCCTATATTAAAATGAAGAACATATAACATGTATTTGCATTGTGCCATCACTGACTTGAAGGGTTTGCAGCTTTTCTGACAAAAAACATTAACCGTACATCAATTTACTTTATTTTGAAAGCAAAATCACCAGATTTCCGGTCTTGTGCTGATTAATTTCCCCATCTTGACACAGTCAGCTTGATTTGGTGACAGCAGCTTCACTGCTGACCGACATTTGAGGTGATTTATATCGCCCCCTTGTGGGCAAATTGTGTAACAGCAAGTCGCGGCACTGTAATCGAACCCACCTCCCTCCGGCACTGTGCGTATTTCCAAATAGGGACAAATATGAGAGAGCTGGTTTGTGCCTTCTTCAACCATGCGTGTTGTATGTATATATTTTTGCATGATACGTAATACAACTCAAAAGGGCTTTTATTAAGACCTTTCCTCCTATGAATTACACTGTACACTGAGAATGTACGATGACGTTATTTGCTTAACATCAAAGGAATTACAATATTTGTTAAAAAGTCAATAAAGCATACATGTCAGATATATTCATGTTCTGTTGCACGACAACTTTTGTGCTCCACCTTTAATTAGAACGATTAAAAGATGTTAGTCTCTCTTTAGTTGAACAACAATGAAAGACACTTCAATCAAGTTCAGTTAAAAGCTTTATTGTATTTATTTTTCTAGGATAGTATTCACACACAATACATAGGCTACTTTAGGTATCACACACACAGTCTCACACACCAGACCCGGCGGCAGACATACATCTGTGGGCGGGCATTTGATTTACCGGGGCGGACCTGAGGTTACCTACTGTAACCCCAGCTTCTATGAGTAAATGGCGCAGCCCTCTAAGGCTATCGCTATTGGGTAATCACTCCGTACCAACAATGTGTCAGAGGAAAAAAAAAAAGGAAACATCCCTCCTCTCATAAGAGGGAAAAAGGGCCGCTCTCCGCGTGCCGAGAGGGAGGAGAGAGGCGCGCAGCTGGATCCCTGACGTCACTCACTCTGCCAAGACACTCCGTACAGGGTGTGTCAGGGAGGAATGGGAGACATATCCCTTAAATACAATTGAATAAATTAACAGGGGCAAGACCAAGATGCAGCGGTGCAAATGTCTTCCACTGACATTCCTCCGTGCAAAGCCGTGGAGGAGGACATTCCTCCGGTGGAGTGCGCATTGATGTTCTCCGGGGGATCCACCCCATGAGGAGACATATGCCTGTGACACAGCTTCACACAGCCAGTGTGACAGCCGTTGTGCAGACAGAGGCTGCGCGATCGAGCGCTCTCTATAATGCACAAACAGGCGCTGAGAATGGCGCCAGGCAGCCGTGCGCGCCACTAGCAGGACAGCGCGCGCACAGGACAGAGGAGATGAGACGCGGCTTCTTCCTCCGACCTGTGAGGAGGGGGAAAGAAGCCATCCAAGGTGATCACTCAGACTCTAAAGAGCTTGTGATTACCTTTTGCATAAAAGCCGGGTTAAGGCGTAAAACAGCTGAACTGCCATCTCCTTGGATCCGGAGGCATGACGGAGCCACAGAGAGAGCAGACAAATCACTCACTCACCCTTTTCGCTGATAGAGCCAAAAGTAATACTACTTTGGCTGACAACAGTTTAAGGGGAACCTGGTCTAAAGGTTCAAATGGTGCTTTGCTTAGTGCGCGAGACTGCCAAGGCACACNTAACGTTACTGCGTTCATAAAGAATGATAAGAATAAGAATAATGCGTCTTGAACTGGTTTCATTAAAGGTTGGGTAGGTAAGTTTGAGAAACCGGCTCGAGATACACTTTCTGTTATATTCCATGGAATGCTCTTAACATCCTGATAGCAATGAATATCTTAAGTGCTTTGACAAAAAATCCATAAAAAAATGTCATCTGTGGAAGCCGTAGTACTGTAAAAAGCACGCCCAATCATTTTAGCCGGCCTGGCTAAAGTAACTGGATGGCCTACCTGCCTGTCAGCCTTCCATCTGTGCACAAACTTATCTCGTGCCCTCATTGGTCATGTGCGCGTTCGTGTGTGTTGGGGAAGGGGCTCTGTAAGGAAGTGGCAGATTTTGTCTTCCTTAATGCAATAGTAATTGGGGGTGCAAGTGGAGTCTCGCAGACGCAAAACTGTGGCGCGCTTACACTGTAGGTGTGCCGCAGTCTGCGTGATCTGCCTGTAGGGAGGGGCGGGCCGGCCTTGCGAGTAAAGTAACGAGTAAAGTAACGAAAAAAAGTAATATGTAATATATTACTTTTTTTTAGTAACGACCCCATCTCTGGTTATAAATCATTTCCCAAGGCTTCATAGATCACTTATAAGCCATTGATAGGAACACGTTTTGAAAATGCCTTTGACCAAAATCTATTAATCAACTATTTATTTTTACCAACTTAAAAGATGGACTTATGTATAAAGATTTCTGATGATTTATTAACCATCAACAGAACAATTAGTTACAATTTATAAACACTGAGTACATATTGATTTATCAGTGCTTCACAATGTGTATTTTTTATATTTAGAAAAATGTGTTGAATCTGTAAAAGTAATTCAAACTAAGATTAAGATACTGTAAAAGATGAAGTGCAGCTTTGGAAAAAAACAACAACTTTTAAATCGACTTTAGTAGAAGTTTAAGGGGCTTATGTTGACCTCATCAAAGGGTTTCATGAAGCTGCGTACCTTCTACAATCTCCTCCTGATCGTCGGTGAAGAACTCGCTGAGCGGGGGCCTCTTGGGCCTCTTCAGGGTGTTGAGCAGCTGCTGGATCTTAGTGGACACTCTGCTGTTCACAGGAACTCCTACAAGGTCGATGAAGGTGGAGAGAGGCAGTGGCGGGACAAGCACACGGTCACACACACAGTGGCATGAACATCCAGGGACAACCACGTCTAAAGGTCTCACCATCTCATAGTCTGCTGCTCTTCATCTCATAACACAAGAGACTTTATTCTTCAGTTCAAATGGAATTCAAAATAACAAATGGTCTTATCTTTTGGGAATGAAAAGCAGCATACGTAGGTGGCAACAACACGAGGAGAACACAGTGAGAACTGGGGTAAAGGTATCTTTTTTTAGTTTGGGATCACACGTGAGGATTCATTCTGTGTCTGGATGTTGTTTTTGTGGCATCAACTTTATTAATCATTCATTTAAAAACAGGAAGGAGAGTAGAGGGTGCAACAGCAAACACAGAAGGCTAAGGACATTATACATGAAGGAGTTTCCTTACTCTGGATATTACCTCTTGCTATCGGCCAGTGAAAAAAACATGTGACAGGGCAGAGAAAGACCAAGAAGAAACGAGAGCAGTAAAGTCTGATTAATGGTATGTCATGGTTGGAAGTCAACACTTATTTCGAAAAGAGAGAAGAGATTTGTGAGTGGAGTCAGACACAAGTTCCTGTAAAGATATAAACAAATGAGAATGTTGTGTGGTGTGGTAGTTACCGTCCGCAGTCTCCATCATGCTGGAGCGACTCTGCCCGCGGCTCATCCCCCGGACCGTGGCGCTGGGCAGGTCCACCCTCGTTGCTCTGGATGGAGGGGCCACAGCTGTCACATCTGGAGGGGGGGCGCTGTTCTCTGAGGGGGCTACAGGGGGAGAGAGGAAGGACATTCATTTGTTACTTTCAGCTTGCTTTCTAATACCAATACCAGGCAGTGGATAGCTGACTTAGATTTTTAAGTCATTTTAAAATACTTTTTTCCTACTGAATGTCTTATTTCAAAGAAACCTACGAGCACATCTCTGGTAAATACGCTACTCAACGTTTATTTTGCATGATATTTCGTGCAGTATCAAAGATCTGTCAATAAAATCAACTAATGGATCATTCAAAGAGCTCATTTTACAGCCCTTGTTTTCCCTTCATTCCCTGAATTCATTAATATCAACACTATTAATTCCAAGCAAGTTGACACTTAATTCCACAGTACTAATAGTTTTTTTTCCTAGGAAGTTGCAAGAGAAAAGCATGAAAATCATTAGGTTACTGAGTGCCAGTTAGGATCAATTATACCAAATAATACTAAGTATGCAAAACGAGCAGGTTGAAGATGGCATTACATCTGGGGAAGACTCGGAACAAAAAGGTGAGGACTGGGGACTTGAGTGAAAATAATTGACACCTAGTTGTGACTTGCAAAACACTGACTTGGTCTCCTTTTGTTATCAACTAATACTTATTGGTGCTTATGAATATTTGTGTCATAAATTTGCCAAATGTCTCACCGATGCGACTGTGAGCCATCATATCCGTCACAGCTGCAGTGTGGGCGGAGGGATGAGGCTGGTGCTGTGGTTGTTGATGCTGTTGATGCTGTTGGTGCTGTTGGTGCTGCGGTTGGTGCTGCGGTTGGTGCTGCGGTTGGTGTTGCTGTTGCGGTTGTTGATGTGTTTGTTGATGTGGTTGTTGATGTAGTTGGTGATGTGGTTGGTGCTGAGGCTGATACAGTGGCTGGTACTGCGGCTTGTACTGAGGCTGAGGCTTAGGCTGGCTCTGAGGCTGCGACTTGGCCTCCCCGTGGGACAAGGTGGAGGAGGCCGAGGAGGAGGTGGAGGAGCCCTGGACGGTGCGGTTGATCCAGGCGTCGGGGCTCTGCAGGTTGGGATTGACCGCAGGCTGAGGAACGATCAATGTAGACTGCCTGCGCACCGCCGTCTCATCTTCAGAACCTGAGGAGGAGTCTGAGAGCAAGACGAGCACAAAGTGTGAAAATCAAGCATGGGATCCTCCGAGCTAAATGTGATTTATTGTAATGACAGAGCAGGAGGAATGTCCTTCTTTTCCTACCTGGTGGTGTGCGGGTGTTGATTGGAGACTGGACATAAGTGGAGCGTCGTTTGGTCGGCATGGGCAGCGCCATCTTCTCTTCTTTATGTTTGGCCAGGGCAGCTTGTACTGCCTCAGAGTGGATATCTGAATAGACAGAAAAAAATACACATACTCTGTGTTAAGAATGGCAGCTTTGGATCTGATTCAAAGCATTGAAACAATAAGACGATGAAAACACTTTTTAAACTGACCTTTCAAAAGCCAGTTTGCCTATAATACATAGATCTGCTCAACAAAGTTTTCAAATGATGCTCGAAAAATGATTTTCAAATCTCTTTCAATCTACAACAACTTGAAGGGAAACCTGACTTTGTTTTGATGTTCACAATATAAAACATGCGGTAACCACTGCTTCGTTCCTCTCCGGTAATTTTTAACAGCAACATTTCAAGTTTGATTTAGTGAGTCTTGTTGATGTGGCTAATTAAAATATCAGGAGGAAATCCTTAGAGGACAACTGTGTTTTCCCTCTGAAAAGGAAACCATGGCATGAGAGAACAAAGCTGTGTATTAGCCCACACGCTTGCCTACACACAGTAATAAATGCAGGGATACTTTCACTTCATGACACCCACAGGCACATTAAAAGGACCATGTGATCAGCCACACATTCAGACTACGTAACAGAACATATGCAACAAAACCCCACTCACTGACGTATCCTTTAACTCAGGGGACACAATATTTCCTTTCAACACATTTAAATCATCAAGTGCAGCTCTTCACGCAGCAGCGGGGACCATCATTACATAACGGCCATTCTGCTGAACAGATTGCTCGGGGCTAAATCATCTTCATCATGTGCTGTTGTCCACTCTCACACAGGGCCGTCAAGAGAGGCCGACTCCTCACGCCTGTCTGATGGGTTAAGGGCTGTCTCCGTGGCGATAAGGATGTGGGGTGTGTGGAGGACACCGGTGTGTTTTACAGCTTCAATTAACACTAAAAAATGTGTGCAGCTAATCTGGTGTTATCTTTAATACCTCTTGGTTTACCATTTCACATTTGAATACACAGGAATCATTAAATTCATGTGCAGATGGAACAAGGTAATATTGTATTCTGGTTAATGCAGTAATAACTTGAGGAGGTGAGAGGGAATTGTATTATAAATAAATATAATGTGCAATATTACTTTTAATATTGTGCACACTAGTACCATTCTGCTTGAGTTGTTTTATTAAATGTTATAATTCTAATGTTATTCTGTAAGGCGCTGGTGGAGTATTATTTGCTCTACTCCTGATATATAACGGTTGGGTTTTTTATTCTTCAATTACATTTTTGAACGATCTCTGGCATACGAACTTCCTTCAGGATTAATAAAGTTATATTTGTTCATCATTTTTAAGTGAAGGTTGTTCTGCACTTTCTTTGCAGCCATTTAAATGATGAGCACTTTCATTTCTCCAGCTCCAAATTGCTGCAGCGTTTTCCCATTTCTTCTTATTACCTGATTATTGTTTTTCTAACCATGCTAGCAGCTTAGCTCTAGCAATGGAATTAATTATCTTTCTGTTCAGATGGAAATATCTCTTCAACATTTGGATAAACAGTCCATGAAATGTTCATCTGCCTGACAAATCTCATGGTAGATCTGTGTTTAAAATGAATGCATTTCAAAAGAGTGAATTAGCACATTTTAGGAATGTATCTTACTGATGATGCAGTTTATCATTTGTTTTATAGAGTGTTTAATCCTCATCTTTCTAGCTTCATATATGAAATTGGCGATGGTGATAGATAGTGAATATGCCTTAAGTTACTATTATTCGAGTTAGACAGTGTGCAGGAGTTTGTTTGCAACTATCGATCTACTCTTGCCATTCCTCCGCACCTGTGTTGGCGTTCATAACATCATGAAATCAGTGAATTTTAGCCTTTAACCGATTGTAAGTGATGCAGCAAAATTAGGAATATTCAAGTGTCTGAAATCAATTATTTGCTAACTTCAGAATAAACTATTGATTGTATCAGAAGTATAGTGAAAGTATAGTGATTATAAGGGATGGATTTCACAAATGTCACCAAAGACCACAGGCCTTACTGCTCCATTTGAGAGATACAGCATATTTGAAACTGAGCAGAGAAGTTTTTCTGAACATGAAACTGTAATACGCTGTGAACTATGGCAAAAAGCTCATCGTCCCTCTCGTCCTTCATCTATGGTCTTCTCCTCAAGGCCTTTCTCTCAGTCAAGTCTTGATTTATTGTACCAATCTCAATGTTGCCTATTGTTGTCAGCTTTAATCCTCTCTGTGTTGAATCCTCCACCACAAATCTCCATTTGTATCCGTCAATCCGATACAAAATAATCTGGAAGTGGTCAGATTTTCCATGACAACGAAGCATCCACCAAACTCCGGCCTAACAGATTTTCGGTTTGTCATTAAGCATGCTTTAGTGTGAGGGTGTTTCATTTGAGAAGCAGACGTTTGAAAAGGCATGAGGAGAGAACTAATGAAAGAAACAGTTCTGCAGTCTGAACCTCATAACAGACTCTCTGACATCCCCCTCACATGCTCTGCGCTCTAACCTCAACTCTCCAGCTGGATCAGTATCCCCCCCTGTTCTCCTCACAGACTCATTACACATAGCCATGCAGTGACATCACTCTGTTTTCACAGACTGGGGGTCCTCACTGAGGGGCTTCCCAGCTGCAGGGCTGCCCTGCCGCCTGTCTCACAAGTATCCTTATCCAACCAGTTTCTGTGTTTATGCAGGTTTTTGGAAAACCTGCATAAAAATAGGTGATAGATTCCCTTCCCATTGCCATGAGTATGCATTTGTTTTATTTTCCCTGTTGGGTTTTGTTATTGTGTCTTATGTTTGATATCACTGGTGCTTGAATCAGGGCTGGTGAACAGAACATGGGGGTCACTTCTTTTTAACAGTCTCTTATTAAAACTATCAAACCAGAGTTGATGATTCATAAATAAGTGGAAAGACTAACAAAGAGTGGGATTCAGGGTTAAAATGACAGTTTCTGTCAATGTAGTCTGCTGGCCATTGTGTGTTTTGTACATAAATCGGTTATAATAGTTGTAAAGATTCCCTATAGCTTCCAGTTAATATGTATCTACTTCAACATGAATCACATAGCATCGCTCTGGAAAAGGGTTGAAAATGAGTGTTTCAACCCAGATTCATGTTTTCATTGCTGCTGATTGGAATCGATAAATACCAGAGACAAGGGGATGAATGCAGATATACCATTAACGACAAAATCCAGATATTATTGTTTTTTTTTTATCAAGTGGAAAAGGGCTACACAATCACACACTCACACAAACACACACACTAATTGGTCCCTTAGAAACAGCCGAGTGTCTGTGATTCAAACCTGGTTGGCTCAACAAGTGAGGTTGGTGTGGGCTCATTTGAGCGCTAAAAAGCTCCCTCACTGCAACAGAGGTGTCATTAGATTTTTGGGGAAAGTAAAGAAGCTGAATGTGGTGTTTTGATATTGGAGTTCTGACCTGATCTGTAGCGATCATCCCTGGTTCCTCCACTGCGATGTGATTTGCGGGAGCGACGTTCTCGGTGACGGGACGAGCTGGAGGGGGGAGGGCCGTGGCTGGAGGAGGAGCTGGGAGCAGGACGCTGAACATCATTCTGACGGGGCGGCTCCACTGTCAAACAAACACAACAAACATTATACCCGACATTATAATCCAATCAGCAAAGCAGAACCTTGCTTTCTGTCTTGCTTCTCATGGAAATCTCACTCTCTGCTTTAACAGGATTGGGATAAACCATTTCTGTCAACAGAGAGTGAATCAATGGAAAGCTTCTTGTTGTTGTTGTTGTTGTTGTTGTTGACAGAGAAAGAAAGAAGAAAGCTGTGGGATTCCCCAGTTGCCCTGAAGGATGACTTCTAAAAAAGTGTCATCCCTTTTGAATCACACTTTGCATATAGTAACAAGCTCTCTCTCAGCCTGTATAATAGCTGAAATAAGCCAAAAAGCAGACAAGACGCACATTAATATGAAGTTGAAGATTCATTTGATAACATTATTTGTTTTTCACACAAATGATGAGAGCTGAGGGTGACACAAACTGGTCCAAAAAAACACTCAGTAAATGGGAAGATGACATTTATCAAAAGGACACTTGGGCTTATTCCATAAAGTAGCTTCAGAGTAATACAATCTTCAATAAAGTAGCTTGAACTCTTTTCTGTCCCTCTGCCATATGTTTTTGGTAATTCCACCAGCTGCCTGGTTAAGCAACATTCAAACTGAGCCTCCAGCACGATGGAACATTTTGGATTCAGCTAACAGTTTATCATGTTTTGTGCTCCACCATCAATGGGATGAGTGGATATGAGCATAGAGATGGTGCCACTAGGAAGCAGCACTGAGCATCATCAGGTCTTAAAATACAACACAGTGTCATTTACACAGAACAGAAACAACCATTCACAAAACATTTACTGGAGTCTACATTGGAATCATATTACATTGACATCATAATACTGCAATGCATTTAGAGTGGTAATAAAAATACATGCATGTGGAAAAAAAAGACAGTTTAACTGACAGTAAACAGAGTATACATTGTCATGGCAATAATACAGCAAAAATGTATTTGAAATCAGAGTCCAAATGGGAAAAAGATATAGTGGATACACAGTTAGACATTTCCCCCCCCAAAAAAAGTAGGAGACAGGTGTTTACCTGGAGCTTGGATGACATATGGAGCCAGGAGTTTGGTCCTTTTCTTCTCATAGCCCTTCTGTGTTATATCACCTGAAAAAGACCAGAGAAGAAGAGTGACTTACAGACACGGCATAATAAGTCAAAGTCAAATCCACTTATATTTGAAAGGATTAGAACAAACACCAGTTCACTCGCAGTGTCTGCATTACTATTGTTCAACATTGTGGTGGCAGTATTCTTTTTATTTTGCGTTACATAACAGACAGTTAAGCTTGATAGAAGGTGTAAATGAGAGTGCCCTGTCACTGACGTTGTGTGAGATGATGGGATAATAGAGCAACAGTAAAGGAAAGAGACGGGTATAATGAAAACAAAACTTAGTTTGGGAAATAAACAAAAACACAGATGGATGCACACAGCTTCTGCAGTAATCTCCAGAGATGGCTGAGAGCGTCAAAGCTGTGGCTCTGTTCCAGCCTCAAGTACGACATGTAGAGAAAAACAAAACAGGACTATATTTGGAAACCTGCGGAAGCGTGGGCAAGAAATGGGATGATTCAGAGACCCAGAGCGAACACATAGAAGCATGAGAGCTGAGGATGAGAAAAGGTGGGAGACACACCGAGATAAAAAGGGAAAGACGGGAGAGACTTCCTGCAACTTCCTCCATCCTACCAGGCACAACACAGGCCCACTGAGGTCCTGCGCTGGCCCTGAGGCGATGCAGCGACTCTGACAAAGTCCTCTGTGGGCAAAGCTGTCATATTTTCAGACACATACTAAAGAATCCATCTGGAGAGCCTGCACTCAATTTTCCAGCAACAGTGTTGAGAAGTGATGATTCATTCAGTATGTCCACAAATGGCCGCCTCTCTAAAACGTCCTCTTCTTCAAGACTCAATAAATCAGTGATTCACAGTGTGTATAAGAATAAGAAAGGCCTGTCGATACTGAAAGAGCCTGGCGCTCTCTGTGTAATAACCCTGAGTTGTTTCCACTCGGTATGATGTTGGTCAGTCGGACAGATGATCCCATTTTGTGACCAGCACTGAGTGTTCTGCAGCTTGTCATCTGCCGGAGCACTGAGAGTTAATCCCTGATTTAAACATCACTGCTGAGAAGTGATACAAATGGTGAAGCTGCCTCCTAGTTGCATTTCAATGGACTGAACATGAGGATTTCTTGGGAGTGCTGTCAATAGTGCTGCAACAACTAGTAGACTTATCAGTTGAACCACAGAAAATAGTGACCAACTATATTCAGATGTCCTGCTTTTCTCAATCAAATCTTATTTGAGATCTAAAGTAAAATGTGTACTTTTTTTTTAAGGTGCCCTATTATACTATTTTCAGGCATACAGTATATTACAGGTCTCAGATATATAAAAAAACATGTCTCTGAAGTGTTTTGCTCAAAATACCAAACAGGTTACCCATTCTAGCCCTGCCTCATACCCCTCTATTTCAGGAGGGGCTGATTTTGAATCCGGATTTTAAAAAAAAATTAATTAAAAAATAAAAGAGAGGAGAGCTCATGCAGGAGAATTCTACCCAGATTCTCAGCTAAATGTGATTAAAAGCCATATCATGTTCAAAACCACTTCAAGGATTATATCTGAAACAGTATGGCGCTCATATGCTTCTTCTCGCGCGGGTTTACCACAAGGTAGGGCTGCTCGATTATAGCAAAAATCAATAATTGATATCACGATTATTAAAAACGATTATCCATTTACTTTGAAAACATCAATTTATTGGCGATTTTTTTTTGAACAGTATGTTTGGAACAGTTGATTACCCTGAACTTTAAGTATAATTCAACTGAAAAAACATTTTTTTAAAAAGTAATAAAAAATAATCGTTTTATTTCGATTACGTTGTTTTCTAAATCGTTGCAAGCCATAATCGTAATTGCGATTAAAATATGATTAATTGAGCAGCCCTACCACAAGGTGAGTCTTTTATGTATAAAAGACATCAAAAAGTGCATTTTGCATAATAGGTGACCTATGAGTTAGTGTTCCCAGATCTTATGGTGCGTTCACACCCGACGCGATGCGAATATTCATTTTAGTATTAAAGCGGTGAGAAAACAACAACCCAGAATGAAACTTTGTAATGAGCATATATTCAATGTATCAAGTCAAACAAAAAACGAATTGGATATTTTATATAAATTGCTTGAATTATTTACTCCTGGATTACAGAAGAAACAATATATATATACATATGAAACAAAACACAGATCCAACCCTACAATGTAAACCACTTTACCATCAAGCTTTAACCATAACATCTTTACATCTATGACAGGTTCACCTCAGCACCCAGGAATACTTGATCAGTTAAACCATTACACACCACAACACTGCTGGAACACTACAGAAGAGCTGATGAAAACGAGAGTGCTCATGTTTGGAGGATCTCGCCTAAGAGCGCACTCAAACACAATATCTTCACGGGGACTTTTATTATGAGGGGAAAAAGAAGGAAAGCAAACACTTCCATAAGTAATGCATGAACGTTACAGTTGGCCTGGCTCAGTCACAAGATGTATTTTTAGCTCATGTGAACAGGCAGTTTCTCTGCGAAAAGACACAGCGAGAGAGGGGGGGGGGAGAGAGAGAGAGAGAGAGAGAGAGAGAAAGAGTCAGTCAGTGATGGGGGAGGGGCTGGCTTGGCATTAAATGAATCTCAAAGTAATCACTCTTCCATCTGGATGATTTAAAATGCATCTGTTTTTTCATGGTTGCAAAGCATCCTCAGATTCAGGCCCAGTGGGTTAAAACTCTGTAAACGCATGCATCCAATCAGGGAACTACAGTTGACTAGAGGTGTGTATTATCAATCAGGAAGAGAAAAAAGTAACAAAACAATTTGAGGAAAATGTGAGAATATGTATCATAATTATCCTCAGAACCTTGGTCCGCCCTACCTGTATTTACGTATAAACACGCTCTACATACAAAAACGAATCATTTGCAGCACTGAGAATGTTTTTCTCCTCATTTACACTTTAATTCAAACAGTCAAATGGATCTGCTTAAGAGGCAGAGCTCCGCTGAGGTGAGGAGCGCCTCACCCTTCACCCACTCTCTCACAGTGAACCATGTGTCATGTCCTGATGGTGGACGTCAAATTAAACTATTTCAGTGATGACAGCAACAGTCAGGAAGCTGCCTCAACTCTCCTCTTTAGTCTCGGTTTGACAAATGCATGGTTTGAGGGGGACTCACTCGCCCCTGAGCGTATGTTTTATTTGTACACAATGTATCGAGAGAAATATCAAAGCAGTGCCTTCTCCCAACCCCGTCCACTCTCACACTCTCTAGTCTCGGATTATTTAAATTGCAGCGAGACCGCTCTTCCTTCTACCCCACAGGCACTCTGTCTGAATAGTAATTAGCTACCAGGCTCTTTTTCTCTTTCCCTTTCCTTCATTGCAACCCGCTCGGTTGCTCTCTTTCTCAGGATAACAGTGTAAACACATGTCGACGCCACATGCTCACCCAAAAAGGATCCAAACAGGTTCAAATATTACAGGGACTTCCAGCTGTTATCTCACAGAAAACAGACATTCTAACAAGGTTGTACAATAAGCACAACAACACCATTTCTGCTTTGGAAGTCCAGGACACAGAATGAGATATGGGCCTCTTTGGTCTGGTACTGAGCCGTGTCTGCATTTGTTGATATGAAAATGAAAAATCAACCTGCCTTTTTACATTGAAAGGGGGCGCATACACCTGAACATGTTTGATTACATACATTCTTAAAATTTGATTACACAATGGTGTAATTAGCAGTTAGTATGTTTAACATCTCTCTCATTACACACACTTTCTTCCTGTAAGGGAGGATAATGCAATGTTGGCCAAATATAAAAAAGAACTCACTTTTCCTGATGAGGCTGCTTGTTTTTTTTGAAAACCATAATATATAACAAATGGTATTCCTTATTAAGGTCTTTGTGTTGGTCAAAGTAAAAAGTGGTTTGACAAATACATTTACACTAATTAATATCCACTAATGGGGCATGACCGGTGTGTGTCTATGCATGTGTGCACTTGCTGTCTGCTTTCGAACAAGCAAACATCTCTGAAGAGGAGCTCACAGCCATGTCAGTAAATGTGGGATTGACTTTTAGGGTAAAAGAAAACATATTTTTCATCCTCCTTAGTATCCATGCATTATTACATCAAGTGAACATATTCTGTTCATATCTGTGTACACACTTCCCCAAATAAAGCCTGACATTTTCTTTGGTATCTTTTGCCTCTCCAGAAAGAGCCTTACCATTCACTTTACTGCCACTAAAATATCCATCTATTATTGTTTCGGTCACGACAGTTAAAAAAGTATACAAACAATTGTGTCTCTTTATATCAGCTCGACTTACATACAATAACCTGATTATAAAGTATGAATTAAAAACAGAAAATACAAGGAATAGAAGAATAACCTCTCAGAACTGAGGATATTTCAGGGTTCTCACACTTTCTGAAACATCATTTTTAAGGAGTATTCAAGGACTTTCAATGCCTAAATCCTTCAAATTAAAAAGACCTAACACAACTAAGTTGAAGACACAGATCAAGGTTAATGGCTGTTATCACAGTGAGAATTATTATAGTGAGGACTTGCAGGCTTTACAAAGAGGACACTCCTCAATGTGTAGTGTTACTGGGAGGGCAGACAATGTGCTTTCTTGCTTTTTTACCAGCACAGCAAAGTAAAACAAGAAAAATAAATATCAAAATAACTTTAGTTTTTATTGTGGCCCTTGTACCTTGTACAGTATAAGGATGTCAATTATGCAGCACAGACTAATGTATATTTATATATTTAAGTACTTTATTTAACATTGTCCATAATACTGTTCATACTAGGGCTGCTTGATTATGGCAAAAATCATAATCTCGATTATTTGGGTCAATAATTTATATCACAATTATTAAAAAGGATTATTCATTTACTTTGAAAACATCAATCTATTGAAAAAAAATGTGAACAGTATGTTTTTAACAGTTGATTACCCTGAACTTGAAGTATAATTCAACTGAAAAACCAATTAAAAAAATTATAATAATA